ATCCACGCTACGCAACATGGTTTGGAAAAAAGAAGAATTGGCAGAATAAAAAAGAGCTCAAGCAGGACAAGAGATCACGAGAAAAATGCAAAACGTACAGTTAGAAAGCCTTGTGCTGACTTTGTTTCGTATCTTCGCCTTGTATATCTAGACCCACCTGTGAAGCTACTCCACATTCACAAGTATTCTGTGTGCCAGTAGCGCAGGATGAGCGAACAATTTTGGATGAGAAGGATGAAGACGGTAGGGATTGGTACACAGTTACAATGACAAAATGGAAGTAGAAATTTAGATGTCAATCTCGAAAAAAAGGGTAACCATGCTCTGAATCCATTGGTAAACGGCATACCGTTTTGGATTACTCCTGAGTATGTTAAACCCCTTTTCTATGGCGGGCGCAGGAGGGACTTGAAGGGCGTGGCATGAGCGCCTCTTTTCGGTCAATGTACAATTTTTCACAACTTTTTCTTCTGTAAACTTTTGAGCGCTGCTCAACATTAACGCTTGAAAACAGTTTTATATTTATCCATCAAGTGTGTAGTTCACTTTCGAGTTTTGTTAAAACCCCACGACCCGTCTCCATCCGTCACCGTAAATATTCCTTTATAAAACTTTCAAAATAAGTAAGACAACTATATTCAGAGAGGAAGAGGAGCTGAATGAAGAGGACCTGCCAATAGATAGAGACTTGATAGAAAAGGTGGCTCACAAATTATCTGAGCAAAAAGCTGCTAAATTTCTGAATCCTCAGGTTCTGGATGGTACCTTCAACATCGCCTCAAACACATTAGCTCGTAAGCGATTCGATCCATTCTCAGAGACTGACTCCTACAAAAAATTAGACAAATTTTTCACAAGGTTAGAAATTTACTATTCAGAAGGTTCACAAATGCAATTTCCCCCTTTCAGAGATCTCATAATTGGTGACACAGTTAAAACAGTGATAAACCTATTGGAGGAGCCAAATGACGATCAGTATGTTGATTGCAAATTTGGCTAGAGAAGGTTTTTAACCTGTGATTTCAGCAAAAAGAAAGAAGCTCAAAAAAATCTTGTTACATGGGGAGCACATGTGCTTGTATCCACATTTGACATTAATAATCGAAAAGTGGAAGTGCCAGAAAATTTGAAGATTGAGCCATTGAGAGACATTGTGCGGCTGTAACTAGGAAAAGGATTTCGAATTTTACTTACGAAAATGAAAAAAACCATATAATCGTTCTTTAAATTGTTTGGATACCATTCACTGTGATGAATTGCAGAATGTACGAATGAATAAAGTGGAATGGTTCAAATTTCTTTATGAGATTTCTTAGCTTAAGAAACAGTTCTGATGGCAAGGGAAAGGTTATCCGCAAATATCCTCAGAGCATTCTAAAAAGATTTTACAACTTGATGCTTGTATTCCATTGATGGTCAAATTTGCCACACTTTGAAGATTCTGCGCAAAAGCACCACTTTAAAATTTGAAATTAACGAATTTATTGCAATATGGAATAACCATTTCTATTACACCACTGTTCAACAATATTGCAAGTTGTAAAGAGGAACCCTAAAGTAATTTTAATGGGCTTCTTCAAAGTTTCTCCTTCAAGTATCGCAGATTCCTTCACG